ACAGAGTATGAGGGTGCCGACAGCTCCGTGAGCCCAGCCCTGCCCGCACCGACCCCTGCGGCCCCGGGGGCTCCTCCTTTCTCCTCCGTGCTCTCCTATTTCGACAACACCACCGTGCCCGTTCGGGGCTTCACCGGCACCGCGGAGCCGCCGAACGGGACGGGGAGCAGCCCCCCGGGACATGTCCCCAGGACACCCCCAGGACATGTCCCCAGGACACCCCCAGGACATCCCCCGAGCATCCCCCCGGGACATCCCCCCAGGACACCCCCAGGACAGGTCCCCAGGACACCCCCAGCCCCATCCAGGAGCTGTCTGCAGGGTGGGGAGTTCCTGGCCCAGGAGAACACCCGAGTGGGGCTGCTCTTCGCCTCCAAGGCTCTGGTCCAGCTGCTGCTCAACCCCTGGGTGGGTCTGCTGACCAACAGGTAGGTCAGACCCCGGGCTTCCTGCAATTCCATCCCTCGGCTCCTGCCTGCTGCTGGAATCACCAGGCGTGGAATTGCAGGGATTAGCCGGGAGGGAAATCGCAAGAGGTAAAAATGCCCATCCGAATGGCAGGAATGTTCCCTTCGCCTGCACACGGCTGTTGCGTTTATGTCCCAGCAAAAAGCTCCCCAGCGCTCTCCTCAGGTGCTGGCAGATGCTGTTTCATCCCAGCCACCACGGAACAAACAAACTCAGCCTCCCGCCCCGCTATGGACGGATAAAATGTTGTTTTCATGTTTTCTTTCTCTCCTGCAGACACTGAGCTGTGCTGGGGAGCCCTGGGGGGGTTTGCAGGGTTAGTGGGGGGCTCTGGGGGTCCCTCTGAGCAGCGCTGTGGGCACATCGCCCCCTCAGGAGCTGTTTCCAGCCCACAGACATCTCCCAGGGGAGCAGGAGGAGCCCTCCTCAGCTGGGGGCTCGTTTTTCCCACTCCAGGATCGGATACCACATCCCCATGTTCCTGGGCTTCACCATCATGTTCCTGTCCACAATCAGTGAGTACCGCCCTCCCCACCCTGCCCAGCAGAGAGAGGACAGAGCAGAGTCCCCGGGCTGAGAGGAGGGTGACAAGGACCATCTCCCTGCCCTCTCACCCCTGCCAGTGCCAGCTGGGGCCAGCCTTGCCCTGCTGCAGTTTCAGCCCAGCTCTCCCCTCCCTGCACAGTGTTTGCTTTCTCGGGCACCTACACCCTGCTCTTCATCGCCAGAGCCCTCCAAGGCGTCGGCTCCTCCTTCTCATCGGTGGCAGGTGAAGGTTTTGGCTACACCTCAGTCCCTGCATCAGCTCCCCTTGGCTGGGTTCTCCTTCTCCTTCTCCTTCTCCTTCTCCTTCTCCTCCTCCTCCTCCTCCTCCTCCCCGTCCCCGTCCCCGTCCCCAGCCAGGGGGCAGCTGAAGCCCCTGAATCGCAGCTGCTCCCCGGGAGGAGCCCCAGGGGCGCAGGCAGGCTGAGGTGGGCTCTGTGTGTCCCCAGGGCTGGGGCTGCTGGCCAGCGTGTACCCGGAGGACTCGGCGAGGGGCAGTGCCATGGGGATCGCCCTGGGGGGCCTGGCCTTGGGAGTGCTGAGTAAGGAGCCCCCGTTCCCACCGGGACACGGCCAGTCTCCTGTTCCTGCAATAACCCCACCTGCCTGGCCGGGCACCCCCCGGGCTGCTGCTCCCCTTCCTCCCTCCCTCTGCCCCCTCCCCGGCATCCCCTGTGGGACTGACACCCCCCAAACAGCCACCAAACAGCCACAGGGACCCAGAGCAGCTCCAGGATCTGGGGACAGTGACACTGCCAGGATCTTGGGATGGTGACACTGCCAGGATCTGGGGACGGTGACACTGCTGGGACCTGGGGACGGTGACACTGCCAGGCTCTGGGCACAGTGGCACTGCCAGGATCTGGGGACGGTGACACTGCTGGGACCTGGGGAAGGTGACACTGCCAGGATCTGGGGACAGTGGCACTGCCAGGATCTGGGGACAGTGACACTGCCAGGATCTGGGGATGGTGGCACTGCCAGGATCTGGGGACAGTGGCACTGCCGGGATCTGGGGACAGTGGCACTGCCAGGATCTGGGGATGGTGGCACTGCCAGGATCTGGGGACAGTGGCACTGCCAGGATCTGGGGACAGTGGCACTGCCAGGATCTGGGGATGGTGGCACTGCCAGGATCTGGGGCCAGTGGCACTGCCAGGGTGTGACCCAGCCATTCCCTTGCAGCTGGCACTGCTGAGGCCACACCTCGAGTGCCGTGTCCAGTCCTGGCCCCTCAGTTTGGGAAGGACATTGAGACGCTTGAGCGCGCCCAGAGGAGCCAACGAGGCTGTGAGGGGCTGGAACACAAACCCTGTGAGGAAGAGCTCAGTGAGCTGGGCTTGTTCAGCCTGGAGAAAAGGAGACTCAGAGGTGACCTGGTCACTCTGCACAGCTCCCTGAAAGGAGGCTGTGGGCAGCTGGGCTCGGTCTCTTTCTCCAGGCAGCACTGACAGAACGGGAGGACACGGCCTCAAGCTGCACCAAGGAAATTTAGGTTGGATGTTAGGAAAAAGCTCTTCATGGAAAGAGTGCTAAAATACTGGAATGGTCTGCCTGGGGAGAGTCACCATCCCTGGAGGTGTTTAAAAAAGACTGGATGTGGCACCTGGTTCTGTGGTTTGGTTGAGGCGTTAGGGCTGGGTTGGACTTGATGATCTTGAAGGTCTCTTGTGATCCTGTGATCCTGTGATTCACTGATTCAGTGATTGTGTGATTCTGTGATTGGGTGATTCTTTAATTCACTGATTCTCTGATCCTGTGATTCAGTGATTCTGTAATTCATTGATTCTGTGATTCAGTCGGGGCACCCTTCGGGAGCATCATGTACGAATTCGTGGGGAAATCATCGCCCTTCCTGGTCCTGGCCTTCCTTGCCCTCTTGGATGGAGGTGAGAAACCAAAGGGTTAAACCCTACAAATAAAGGAAATTATTGAAATGTGGCTGTTTTGGGGAGAGCCCGCGGGGAGGAAGAGGCACATCAACACAGACGGGTGATACCATCAGCACCGCTTATTCCATCAGGGCTAAATCCTATTTTTGCCATCTCCAGATGACTGACACAGCAACAGAGCAGGAATTAATCCCTTATTGCTTAAAAACCCCCCTGATTGCTTTAATGGCTCAAACAGCACATTGAGTAAAGCTCTTTGAACTGTGAATTCTTTGGCAAGACACTCTTGTCTGCAGCCTCTCGGTGCCACGAAGGAATCAGGCTTTGCCAGCAGAAATGGTCCCAGATGGAGGCCACGGGAGCTTCCCGAGTGCCACAGCAAAGTTCCAGCCAGCAGGAGCTGCATTTGCAGTGGGAAGCACGGGGCTAATTAAATTACAGCCCCAGTTCCCATCCTTGTCTGGCTGCAAAGCAAGATATCCGTAATGAAGCGTGTAAGAGCCGCTGGAAAATGAAACGCGGGCCTCGTGCCTCTCAACCTTCCTGCTTTAATCCTTTTCTGTTCCCCATCCCATTCCTGCCACGCTCCGGTGGCAGCTCCCCAGCTGGCAGCCCCAGGGGAACATTTGTCCTTTGGATGGCTCCAGGGCTTGACAAAACCCTTCCAAGGCTCTCCGGGCAGTTCTGCTGCTCCCTCCCGCTCCAGCCAGGTCCCCAAACAGCTCCTGCTGCTGGGCTGGCTCGGGCTGAGGAGAGGGGCATGGAGTGAGTGGTGCCTGCAGGAAGGAGCCACCAGCCGTGTTCTGTCCCCAGCTCTGCAGCTGTGCATCCTGCAGCCCTCCCGGATCTCCCCGGAGGTGAGCGCTGGCCCAGGGAGGTGGACGCTGCCCGGGGCTGGGGGCTGTGCCAGGGGCCAGCGGAGGGCACGCACAGCCCCCAGCCCAGCTCGCCCCCTTTGCAGAGCACCAAAGCCACCCCGGTGTCCACCCTGCTGCGAGACCCCTACATCCTGGTGGCTGCAGGTAAAACTAAAACCTGGCCCCGGTTAAAGATTCCCTGGGGCCTGCTTGCAACAGCAGCAAAAAGGGCTCAAAGAGAGCTTTTCTCCCTTTTCTCCCTTTCCTTCCTTTTCTCCCTTTTCTCTCTTTTCTCACATTTCTCCCTTTTCTTCCTTTTTCTCCCTTTTCTCCCTTTTCTCCTGTTTCTCCATTTTCTCTCTTTTCTTCCTTTTCTCTTTTTTCTCCCTTTTCTTCCTTTTCTCCCGTTCCTCCCGTTTCTCCCATTTCTCCCATTTCCCCCATTTCCCCTGTTTCTCCCATTTCTCCCATTTCCCCTATTTCCCCCGTTTCTCCCATTTCCCCTGTTTCCCCCATTTCTCCCGTTTCTCCCGTTCCTCCCGTTTCCAGGAGCCCTGTGTTTCTCCAATATGGCTGTGGCCATGCTGGAACCCACGCTGCCCATCTGGATGCTGCAGACCATGTGCTCCCCGCAGTGGCAGCTCGGTAGGTCCATGAGCTTTGGAGAGTTCAGAATCCCAGAAAAAACCCCCAAGACCCGTTGAGTCCAACCTGTGGCTGATCCCAACCCCGAGCACCAAGTGCCACGTCTGGGAGCTCCTTGGACAATTCCAGGGACCAGGATCTGTCCCTGCCTGGGCACTGCGGGAGGGATTGAATCATCTTTCACATCACTCAAAAAAAAAACCCCAAAAAGAAACATCTGCCCTCCTGCCTGTGCAGTGAGCGATCCCAGGCTGGGCATGGCTCCAATTCCAGCTGGAAATGTCTTCAGTGGTGGCTTCTCTGCTCTGTTATTGATAAAATTGTGTGGAATTTGCTGGCCAGCAGAGCAGTAACGGGGCAGGGAGGCAGCGGGGTGCCTTGGGAGCCCATCTTCTGCAGGGCAGGGAATGGGCTCGTGCTGGGCTGGGATCGGGGAGGCCAGATGGGCTCTGCAGAGGCAGCTCCGAGTGAGATGAGGCCGTTCCCAGCACCCCAGGCAGGGCAGGATGGGCTCTGCTGATTGCCAGCTGCCCGGAAAATGGGATGTGGAGATAACAAGCGCCTGTGTTTGCTGCAAAAACAGCCAGGAATGGTGATAAAACCCAAGTGGCGCAGGAATGACCCGGGGGGTGCCCCGGGCTGCACTTAGATCCCAAATTGGATTGCAGGCTGCGAGCAGGGGGCTGGAATTGCTCCTGATTGAGTTATCCTCAGCAACAGCCAGGCACTAAAAGCTTCTCCAGAGCAAGGAAGGGCCAGGGGAAAGCGGCACCCGGGGATCCTGGCAGTGGGAGAAGGGACAGAACCCAGGGAGAAAGCACTCAGAGATCCCCTGTCACCACTGGAGAAGCTTTGAGGTGATTTAACAGAAGAAAATCCCAAATATATTCCTTAAGATGTTCAGGGAGCTGAGATTTGAGAGCAATTTGGGTTCAGAGTTCGACAACAACCCGCCCCCTCTCACGAGCTGTTCTAATCTCAAGGGGCTTCTTTATTCTGTCTCTTTCTCCCATAATTGTGGGGAAAAGAACCCAGAAGAGCTTGGGCTAAACCTGCAGGATTAACCACGCTGTAGCTGTTAGAGGAGAGGAAATTAAACACAAATCAGCGTGTTCCAATAAGGAAGGTGTCCTGGGGAAATGGAGCTGATCACTTTTATTTATTGTCAGCAGGAAAGGATATGAAAAATAAACAACTGGTACAGCAGCAGGGAGAGCAAATATTTAATTGTGAGCTACATAATGATCCCCGAGCTTTTTACCTTTATTCCTGTTTATTTAGTGAGGGGAAAGGTGGAGAGGTGGAACAGGGTGAAACTGTGACAGGAGATGTTCACGTGCCTGGCCTGGCTCATGATATTCTCCAAATGAGGCAGCTGGGGAGCGAAAATCTGTGCAAATCTGTATTTTCTTGGGCACAAGGCACTTTTTAATCCTTTCTGTCTCCCAGGGATGGCGTTCCTGCCTGCCAGCGTCTCATATCTCATCGGCACCAACCTCTTTGGGATTCTGGCTAACAGGATGGGCAGGTAAGGAGGATATTAAAGATTTTGGCTCAGCACTGCCCAAATTTCAGCACGTTTTGCTTGAGGCTGAGAGCTCCTGCGCTGTTCTCATGTTGCAGGTGGCTGTGCTCCATGATTGGAATGGCTGTGGTGGGAATCAGCCTCCTCTGTGTGAGTAGCGCTGGGGAATCCAAGGAGTATCCGCAGGGATTTTCATGGTCCTGCTCAGGGGCTGCACCTGTGGGTGGGTTTTGCAGATGGGAAAGGTGTCCAGGCCTTAAGGCTGAGAGATTTGGGATTGTTCAGCCTGGAAAAGGCTGTGGGGTGACTGAATTCTGGCTTCCGGTGCAGGACTTGAAAGGAGCCTGCAGGGAAAATGGGGAGAGAGGATTTACAGGGGATGGAGGGACAGGACAAGGGGAAATGGGTGGCAGAGGGGGACGCGGGCAGTGTTGGGTGGGATATTGGGGAGATATTCCTCCCTGTGATGGCGGGAAGGGGCTGTGATGGAATTCCCAGAGAAGCTGTGGCTGCCCCTGGATCCCTGGGAGTGCCTAAGGCCAGGTTGGAGTACCCTGGGATAGTGGAAGGTGCCCCTGCCATGACATGGGGTGGGACAGAAAGAGCTTTGAGGTCCCTTTCATCCAACCCACTCCATCATTCCATGATTCCAAGCACTGTGTGCCACCTTCCCACCTCCCAGAGGCTCTCACCTCCTCTCTCTCCTCTCCCAGGTCCCCATGGCCACCAACATTTACGGGCTGATCGGCCCCAACGCTGGCCTGGGCTTTGCCATAGGTAAGCCGGGGGTGCTGTGGCTGCTCCCGAGCAGCTCCCCGGGGGCCGTGGGGACTGAGGAGCCCCTCGTGCCCCGGGCAGGAATGGTGGACTCCTCCATGATGCCCATCATGGGCTACCTGGTGGACCTGCGCCACACCTCAGCCTACGGCACCGTCTACGCCATCGCCGACGTGGCCTTCTGCATGGGCTTTGCCGTCGGTAGGAGGGCTTTACTCGTGGTGTAGCTACTCAGGGCGTATCTCCCCGGCGTTTTGTCCCTTTCTGAGGTTTGGGTTTGCAGGTCCCTCCACGGGCGGGGCGATTGTGCGAGCCCTGGGCTTCCCCTGGCTGATGGTCATCGTTGGGGTGCTGAACATGGCCTACGCCCCGCTCTGCTGGCTCCTGCGCAGCCCCCCGGCCACCGAGGAGAAGATGGTCAGTCAGGCGTGCTTTCCTGGAGTTTCATATCCCAGGGATTTGAGGGAATTGGGAATAAATTTGCCAGGGGTGGCGTGTTCCGTGTTGGGCTCTATGCCGCCCGCAAACACGGACCAAAAAAACTCAGATAGAAGGAGGAAAGTTTAGAGGGTCCTTCCCTGCACTCACGGGAAAACTCTGCTTTGGCTTTTTCCCGCTGTGATAACGCTCCTGGTAACTGTTCAAAGCAATGGTTATTTTTACTAAAGCACCATTTCTGCTCTGCTTCACCCAGGCCATCCTGAGGCAGGAGTGCCCCATGCAGCCCCAAAGCTGCTCCCCCAAGGAAGCCCAGCGGGAATTCCCACCGGCGGAGGCAGAAAACGTGGAATAACCAGGGCAAGGAATGTATTCCCTGCTTTGGAGTCAATATTCTGCTTACAGAGCATGGATGTGTGAGCAGACACGGCCAATTTAGCCCTGTCAGGCTGAATTTCCAACCTCTGCTCCAGCCATCCATTTAGTGAAGCCGCTGTGGGACGTAACGGTGGAATCAGGTGGCAGTGAAGATGTCACTGCAATGTCACCGCTCCTCTGAGGACACTAAAACCCCTTCATTTGTGTCTTGCTATAGTCTGATGTATTGTGCTAAGTCTGTGCTACTCGTGCGTCCTTCCCAACACACATTAAATTAATTTATTCGTTTGAAGACCTCTCAAGAAACTGAGCTGGGAATACGGTTTAGAATTAGCCAACAAAGCCAGTTAGATCGCTGTATTTAATGCGGTGCTGCACACGGGGGTCTCAGAAGCTCTGAGGAAAAAATCAGGCAGAGAATCTGCAGTTTCCCCCACGGCTCCAAAATGCAGAATTAACCTGTTCCAAACACATCGCTCGGGGGCCCTCAGGGTCTGTTGGAGTAAGGGTTGGTTTGATCACCGCCCTGAGGGGGCGCGGCCCCGCCGCCATGACAGCACGGCCCGCCCTCCTTCCCGCCCTTTTCCCGCCCTCCTTCCCGCCCTCAGAGCCCCGCTCTCGCGAGACTTGGCGCGCCCTGCCCCTTCCTGTAATGGCGGCGCCCTAGACCGCGCGGCCGGGACCTGCAGCGTCGTCAGTCACCGCTGCCACCGCCACCACTGCCACCGTCACTGCCTTCTCTGTCACCGCCGCCACCTCTGTCGCCGCCACCATGCACTCGGACGATGTGAGTCCGACCGTTCTTTGGGGCCCGTGTCAAAGCCCGCCCGGGCCGTGCGCCCGTCCCGCGTGGCCGGGGGAGCCGTGTCCCCAGCGGGGCTGCGGCTCGAGGGGGACAGAGGGACCGGGGGGTGTGAACGGGGACTTGGCAGCAGCCGATGTGCTGTGCCTGTGCTCGTTGCGGCATCGCGCTCTCCCTGCCCGGGGAGCACCGAGGGAAGCCCGATGTTTGCGGGGTGTCCCCCTCGGAGCCCCCCGAGGCTGCCGGGGCCGGGTGAGGGCTGTCCCGGTGTGACACCCGCTCTTTGTCCCGCAGGTTGTCTGGAGCATGCTGGGGAACAGGCAGTTCTGCTCCTACAAGATGACGTGAGTTTGGGGGGGCTGTGGGGAGATCCAGCAGGGAAAGGAGGGGGGGCACATCTCGGGTACCCCCCAAACCCCACAGTGCCACCTCTGTGCCACCACGGCCGCCTGTGAGAGTCACAGAGGGTGGGCTGAACTGCGGGAGCAGTGGGGTCTTCCTGCCCTTCCCTCGTTAATTCCCTGTCCCCTTTTTTCCAGCACCAAAACGCAGAATTTCTGCCGGAACGAGTACAACCTGACGGGGCTGTGCAACCGCTCCTCCTGCCCGCTGGCCAACAGCCAGTACGCCACTGTCCGCGAGGAGAAAGGTGGGAATTCCTTCCTGGAAAGGGCGTTTGGAGCCCCCATCCCTGGAGGTGTCATGGCAATCGATGCCTGGATGTGGCACTCGGTGCCCTGGGCTGGGATCAAGGTGTGCACCAAAGGCTGGATTTGATCTGGGCAGTCTTTTCCAGCCTGGATGGTTTTGGGATGGAGCTCCTGGGCAGGGAGGGGAGGGTGGCAGTGGCTGAGGGCAGCTCTGGGGAGCAGCTCAGGGCTTTGTTCCCTGTCCCCAGGTCGCTGTTATCTCTACATGAAGACGATCGAGCGGGCGGCGTTTCCCCGGCGCCTCTGGGAGCGGGTGAGCTCGGGGACAGTGACAGCGGCTCTCTGTCCCCACGGAGGGCAGCAAGGCGAGGGAATGGCCCCCAGCTGGGCCAGGGGAGGCTCGGGGTGGACAGCAGCAGGAATATCTCCATGGAAAGGGTGGTCAGGCCATGGAACTGCCCAGGGAGGTTTGGAATGCCCATCCCTGGAGGTGCACACAGTGCTGGGGACAAGGTGGGATCCACCTTGGAGGGCTTTTCCTTAGTGATTCCCTGACTGTGGGAGCAGTGCAGCCCCTCCCAAAGGTCCCTGCTGTGTCGAGCTCTGTTACCAGCCCTTCCCCTGTCCCTCAGGTGCTGCTGAGCAAGAACTACGAGAAGGCTCTGGAGGAGATCGACGAGAACCTCATCTACTGGCCCCGCTTCATCCGGCACAAGTGCAAGCAGAGGTTCACCAAGATCACGCAGTACCTGATCCGCATCCGCAAGCTGACCCTCAAGAGACAGTAAGGGACACGGGGAGTGACCATGCAAGTGACCACTGCTGGCTTCTGGAGCCCCTCTGCTGGCTGCTGTCACTGCTGGGACACAGAGCTGGTCCCCGTTTTCCTGAGGGTTTCAGGTGGATTTGGCCTGGAAGAGCTGCAGGAATCCAGTGTAGAAATGCACTGAGGGAATGTCCTGTGCTGGAAGGGACCCACAGGGATCACTGATCCCAAATCCTGGCGCTGCACAGACACCCTAACAGCCCCTCCTGGGAGCTCTGGCAGCCTCGGGGCTGTGCCTGTTCCCTGGGGAGCCTGGGCAGTGCCAGCACCCTCTGGGGCAAGAACCTTCCCCTAAAATCCAACCTGACCCTGCCCTGGCACAGCTCCAGCCATTCCCTGCTCCTGTCCCTGTCACAGAGCAGGGATCAGAGCTGTTCCCTGGGAGGAACTGTTCCTCCTGTGGCCCCTCCAGAGCTTTCCCCATCCTCTGGACGCTCTCCAACAGCTTTAGATCCTTCTTACCCTGAGGCACCCAAACCTCAGGCCATTCCACATGCTGGGAATGCTGCAGCAGCTGCTGCTGGAGGCTGTGACATTCCCAGTGCCTGTTCCCTGCAGGAGGAAGCTCGTGCCGCTGCGCAGGAAGATTGAGAGGCGCGAGAACAGGCGAGAGGTACCGATGGCCCCGTGTCACCTGGTGTCACCTGGTGCCACCGCTGCTGTCCCCACTGCTGTCCCCACTGCCCCTTAGCCTCACGCAGCTGCTTGTGTTCCCTAGGAGAAAGCTCTGATTGCTGCCCAGCTGGACAATGCCATCGAGAAGGAGCTGCTGGAAAGGCTGAAGCAGGACACGGTGAGGCTCACACAGAGCTCACACTGCTGCCCCTGGGGGCGTGGGGAGTGCCTGGCTCCCCAAAACACGAGGGCTCCCCAAAACATGAGGGCTCCCCTCTTTTCTATGCACAGGGAGCCCCAAAACACAAGGGCTCTCCTCTGGTGTCTGGGGAGCCCCAAAACTCAAGGGCTCCCCTCCTGATCTGTGCAGTGCCTCAAAACACGAGGGCTCCCCTCTGTTCTGTGCACAGGAAGCCCCAAAACTCAAGGGCTCCCCTCCTGATCTGTGCAGTGCCTCAAAACACGAGGGCTCCCCTCTGTTCTGTGCAAAGGGAGCCCCAAAACACAAGGGCTCCCCTCATCTTCTCTGCAGGCAGCGTGGGGTCAGAGTTGGGAAGGGGCTGATCCACACCTCAAACACAAGGGCTCCCCTCTGGTGCCCAGGCAGCCCCAAAACACAAGGGCTCCTCTCTCTTCTGTGCAAAGGGAGCCCCAAAACACGAGGGCTCCCCTCATCTTCTCTGCAGGAGCGTGGGGTCAGAGTTGGGAAGGGGCTGATCCACACCTCAGTCTGAGGCTGCCCCATGCAGCCTTTCAGTGCCCCCCAGCCCACAGTCCATCTTTCTCCTTATGGAAAATCCCAATTTTCTTTTCAGTATGGAGACATTTACAACTTCCCCATCCACGCCTTTGACAAGGCCCTCCAACAGCAAGACGCAGAGAGCGAGAGCGAGTCAGATGCAGAGAGGGAAGAGGAGGATGATGATGATGAGGTAAAGCTTCCAGCCCTGCTGTGGTGCTGAGCTGGGCTGCTCCTTTCCTGCTGGCTGAGGAGAGCTCAGGACAGCTCAGAAAAACCTCATGGTGGCCTTGGTGGCTGTTCCATGACACAGCTCAGTCCCTGCCTGTGCTGCTTTGCTTGCAGGACGTGGACAGAAGGGAGTTTGTGGAAGCAGAGGAGAGCGAGCTCAGCGACTTTGAGGTGGGTGAAGCACCAGGTACAAAGTGAGGCTGAGCTGCTTGGGCACCTCCACCCTCAGGTGTCTCTGGGGCAGCAAAATCAGAGCTGTGGAAGAGAATTGGGACCCCAGCCCAGCTCCTCTGGAGCCAGGGACTGCGGAATGGGATCGAGGTGATTTTGGGGAAAGAGGAGGTTTAGTTACACAACCTGCTCTGACATCACTCTGGTCACTCAATTCTTCCTCAGGACATGGATAAGCTGGAGACAAGCAGTGAAGAGGAGCAGGAAGAGGAGGAAGAAGTGGAGGAGAAAGCTTCCCACTCCAAATCTAAAGGGAAAACACCCCTGAAGGGCCCAGCCAGGAGAAAACGTCGCTACATTGAGATAGAGTACGAAGGGGAAACAGAGCCAAGCAGCAAGACAAAAGCAGCCTGAGGCCCCCTGATCCCATTTTGTACGGACTGACAACTCCAGATGTGTCACCAGGGCCTGACTCCACCTCCACCCCTCACAGGACCCTCGGGAACTGCTGGTTTCATACTCCACTCATTTTCTGCAGCAGCAGCAGCAGCGGGGTTTGTGTCCCGAGCCCAGTGGTTGCAGTGAGTTTGTACAACTGGGTGAAGCCCAAAGGAACATCCCCACCTCCTCTGCAACCACAAAAGCTCAGCCCAGACTGGCCTGGGGAGCTCTGCTGCTCCCTGCGAGGCTGGAGGAACCTCCCGTGGCCCTGGGGGCAGCTGGATGTGTCTGGGGGAGGTGTGGGGCTCACAGGTGGGACGAGAACGACAGAACTCTTAAATAAATACAAGTTTTATTGTACCAAAGGGGGTGAGCAGTGTCAGCACCTCAGGTGCTCTCCTGCACCTTCCTGAGGCATTCCCGCACGCGGTTCTCCTCGCAGCTGCTGTGCACCCCTTCCAGCAGCACCTGCAGGGGAACAGCAGCGTTCCCAGTGCCCTGGTGCTCCGCTGTGGTGTCACCCACCCTCCCCTGTGCAGCCCAGCACAGGCTGACCCCCATCAATCCCACATCCAGCCATTATGGGATGGGGGAAATGCAGAATCCTGCTGGACAGAGGTTGCTGCCTCACCTTCACCTGGCCCTGGGAGCAGCGGTCCAGCAGGATCAGGCACTGGGTGGCCCTGTGGAGCAGGGCAGCTCTGACGGGCTCGGGTGTCGGGCCCCGCTCTGTGTGAACGTCCCAGAGCAGCCTCAGCAGGGCCTTGAGGAGCACGGGGAGCCTGCAGGGCATCCTGCAAAGGGAAACACCTCATCCCAAAGCCTGCCCGAGCCAGGGGACAGCATAGCTGGGGCTGCTGTGGGGCAGGACTGGTGCCAGGACAGCCCTGGACATGCAGGAGCCTCGGGATGCTGCTAGGAATGGACCCAGCCCAGTCCACAGCACAGGGCTTACCCCACAGTGATTTAATTTGTGTTTTTGGAACAAGCACAAGTAGGAACAAAATGAGGACCCAGCTTTGTTTTGGAGCCAGGTTTTTGAGAAATGCCAGTGGGTACTTCCTGGGACAGATTCTCCCTTAGGATTTCAGGGCCTTTTCCTCAAGAAAAACTAACTTTGGACCTTAAAGTGGAAATGCTCAGGATAGAATGCTCATGAATGAAGCATTCATGCCAGGACAGCTTTTCTGTGTGTAATCCCCCCAGAGGTACCTGGGCCAGGCGTGCTCTATGGTGCACTGCAGAGTCTCCAGGATTCCCAGTCTGGCCTCTTCCTCGGGGCCATCAGACACCTCCAGGTAGCCCAGGATGACTCGCTCCAGCCTCTTCAGGTGCCTGACGATGAGGATGCCGAGTCTGGAGGCACAAACACACCCTGAGGAGGGAGGGTAGACACCCCTGGATCCCAAAAACACACCCTGAGAAGGGAGAGTAGACACCCTTGGATCCCAAAAACACACCCTGAGGAGGGAGCATGCCCTTGGATACCAAGGGTGGGTCCATCCCTGTGCTCTCTCCTCCTCAGGAAGATGGGCAGGGCCCCAGGAACAGCTCCCAGCCCCTTGGGAAGGTGGGCAGGGCCCCAGGTACAGCTCCCAGCCCGTCAGGAAGACGGGCAGGGCCCCAGGAACAGCTCCCAGCCCCTCAGGAAGGTGGGCAGGACCCCAGGTGCAGCTCCCAGCCCCTCAGGTGCCCCTGTCCCCTCTGTCTCACCTGGTGACAAAGGCGGGCAGGGTCCCTGCGTAGACCCTGCGCAGCGCCAGCCGATGCTCGGCCTCCATGTGGATCAGCACCAGCTGCAGCACCTGGTCCCAGGGGGCCGTGGCTCTGCCATGGCCCTGCTGCCGCTGGCATCGCTCCAGGATGGGCAGCAGGTCCAGCAGGCACAGCAGCACTGCCTGGTTTGGGGGCACATGGGGAATGTGAGCTCCTGCTCTCCAAAAAACAACAAACCCCAACCCTGTGGCCACCCACAGTGCTTCAAACCCCTTCCCTGCCCACCTGGAATGGGGCAGGAGGCAAGAGCTCCTCCCTCTGTGCTATTCTCCTGGAATCTACTGAGTTACTTTACAGGACTGCCACAGGGAACAGGCTCAGCCTCCTGCTTTAAACTGAGGGGCTGCTGCTGCCCCAAGGCACCTCAAACCCAAGTGCAGCCATCCTACCTGGATGAGAGGGGCCTCCCGTGAGTAGAGGTGGTTGTAGAGGGCGTGGAACACCACCTGGGCCCTGTTGAACTGGCACAGATCTGCTCCTGGCTGCAACAACAGAGAGCAGGACGTTACTCCTGGGCAGAGTAAAAACCCAAGGAAAGCTCACCCTTCCCAAACCCTGGGAAGTGTGAGGAGCTGCTGGACGTGCAGGTTAAACCCAGCCATGCACCAGGAGCAGAGGTTAGGAATCTGACCCACACCAGGGAATGGCTGGAGCTGTGCCAGGTCAGGTTGGATTTTAGGGAAAGGTGCTTTCCCCAGAAGGTGCAGCCACTGCCCAGGCTCCCCAGGGAATGGGCACATCCTCGAGGCTGCCAGAAAATCTCCATGGATGAGATCCTTGGGGTGTCTGAGCAGGGCCAGGGCAGGACTCTGATCCCTGTGTGTCCCTTGCAGCCCAGGACATTCTGTGGCTGACCCTCCCTTCACACAACCCCGGCAAAGCGCTGCAAGCCCTCCCTCCCTCACCACGTTGAGGACGATGTGGTGCAGGCAGCGCACTCCCAGCACTTTGTTCTCCTCCTGGAAGTCATCGGAGAGGAGCAGCGCGGGCGGCAGGACCCGCTCCAGGTGTGGGCACAGCCAGGGCCGGCTGACGCGGAGCAGAGCCCAGGAGAACACGTCTTTGGAGGCAGGGTTACGCTTCCAGGTGTCTCTGGAGAGACAGACACAGCTCAGGGAACACACAGTGCTCATTTCCCGTGCACTCGAGGCTCTCAGCTGGCAGCAAACTCTGACAACCACTCCCCAGCACCTTCCGCTGCTGGGCATTTGTAAAGCTCCTGGTTTCATGTTTATCATCTCTTGAGCCTCATCTCCGTTTCCCAGTATTTCCTACAGAGACCCTCCAAACACGCTGCACTCACTTGGTTAACTCCTGCTTCAGGAGCCCCATCACCACTCCGAATCTTCCTTCCTCCTCCCCTTCCTTTCCCCTCAGGAATTCCTCCACGGAGCCGCAGCCCTCAACCTGGACCAGCCTCT